TGCTTAAACCTGAAATAATAACAAAATCTACTAGAAAATTGAGTTGAAACTTTACACTATTGAGTCCTAACTTCTTAACATGGTGTTCAAGACCATCTTAAATCTGATTAAAGCCTCATCTCCCACTACTCTTCGGACTGCCTCCCATTCCCTGAAGACTGTACATTTGCAGGTCTCTACATCTGGGCTCAGTTCACCTACCTTATCTTGTAAGGGCCAGTGACATTTGCCACCTTTCCTGATTCCCAGAAACACACCTATCCTGATTTGTTTTGTTCTCCCATGGAATGTCATTTGTATTTATATTTAGCAATTATTTCATTGTGCATTAGGCTAATATTTCAGATATCTGTTTACTTCACCAGTGAAAAATTCTTCAAGGAAAATGTTATGTTTAGTTCATCTTTGTATTTTCACAGTTCCCATCTTAGGTACTCAATAAAAATTTCTTAAATGTTAAAAACAATATAGAAAATACTCTTTCTTAGTCTCTTTATATTCCTCATAATAAAATACTTGGAACTGGGTAATTTGTAAGAAAATGAAATTTATTGCTTACAGTTTCGGAGGCTGGGAAATCCAGTGTCCAGAGAACACATCTGGTGAAGGCCTTGGTGGTGACAAGGACACCAGGGCCTCACATTGCAGAATGGCAAAGTAGAGAGAAAGAGATCCTCATCTGCTTGCCTTTTAAAGCCCTTAGAACCATGCCCACAACCGCCATCAAACCATTCACTATGGCAGGATCCTCACAATCTAATCACCTCTTTAAGGCCCCTCCTTTCAACCATAGTAGGATTTCCCACCCTCAACAGTTACGTGGGGATTAAGTTTCAATGACTTTGGCAGGGAGTGGGGTGGGGCATTCAATTCACTGCACACTCTGAGGTGAGGTGGTGATCTGGCAATAAGCATTCCAAAAACATGATCAGAGTACCCATCTACATTTTTACTCATTCAAAAATTGGTCTAAGTGTGTGAAAAACAAGAACAAAAACAAAAATAACTGTACTGCTTTAAAATCATAAACTCCAAATCGTGGAACTTGCCAATTTGTTTTGGAAAAAAAATAGTGTCTTTATTCATGAAGGCATCTGTGTAATCCCTGTACATTGTTTGGTTCTACTTATAAACTCTGCCTCTATGAAAAAATTAATGTATGGTATAGCAGGGCTCGTAAGTATCTTGTCTGCTTGCTCAACAAAGAAATTAAACCAAACCCTAAGATGTAAATCATATTCTTTCTCTGTACAGAGCCTAGCTTTATTTTCTTACCTTCTGTGTGTCTAGAAGGGCCTTAAAATTAGTACAGTATTTAGGCTGAGCATATGAGATTTTATCAGTTACTAAATAGTCCTGAGGAAGAGTGCTAAGTAAATATTTTGTCTATAATATGTTTCTGTACTTCTTGTGCATTTTGGGTCATACTTTCTTCCTGTTATTTAACAAAAATATTCTTATTTACTAAAAAATTTTTTTTAAAAATTCTGTATGGGTGGTATCAAATTGTCTGAATAAAACTGTGGGCCAAATTTATTCATAAACAAGGGACTAAAAATGTTCCAAAACAAATTGGAAAGTTTTCATTTGTCACAGCTATAATTTCTACAAACTGTAAAACCATAGCATAAACTAGTTGCAGTGTCTCTTCTGATTCTTGGCTTGGATTTTTTGGTCTTAAACTTGGCTATATTTTCTGAAACTTGAAACTTTTCATAGTCTCCTTATGAGTTGCAGAAACATATGTCATTAATGAAGGAGTTGAGTAACTTCCTTCACTATTGTTCTTAATTCAGCACATGACAAATACCAGCACCAATTAGGGAGATCAGCCTAAGGCACAGAATGTTGGAAAAGATATCTGCTGAATGAAAGAGGATTGATGTAAGAAAAGAAGAAATTAGCACAGAATTGTGTAAAGGAGAAATTGGGTGAACAGCACATGACAAATACCAGCACCAATTAGGGAGATCAGCCTAAGGCACAGAATGTTGGAAAAGGTATCTGCTGAATGAAAGAGGATTGATGTAAGAAAAGAAGAAATTAGCACAGAATTGTGTAAAGGAGAAATTGGGTGAACGTAAACAGAATGTTTACATATTGAAGCAAACAAAGAGCAATGCATAATCCAAGTAAACTATAAAGAATTACTGAAATTAAAAAGAGAAAAATAAAAACCATCTTGTAATAAGTCATATGCTTTCCCAAGTCCACAACAAAGAAGTAAAGCATTATTAACAAATGAAAATCATCTGCACACTTTATTCATAAGCCATAAGAGCTAGAGAAAATTGCTAACAGGAAATAGTCAAAGGCAGTTCAAGTTACAGTGTGCATCATACTTATTACTTTCCACTGGTGGTGTTTGTCATGATGTGTTTGTGCATGTGTTGTGGGGGGTACTTACAGCATTTACACATTCTTATACTCTGTGTTGGACATTTTTATTTTTACTCTACTAAAGTTTTGATATATTCTTACTCATATCTTTTCTTTAGTGTTAACTTTTGTGAAGTATTTTGAGATAACTTACAGAAATTCCTGAGCCCAGGGAAGTAAGATTACTACATTTCTACAGAGACGAAATAATGAGAGAGACAGAGGATTGTAAAAGAGAAAGAGTGAAGTAGGCAGAATCTGGTAATCATATAAGAAGAGAGGAATTCTGGAAGTGTGAATAAGGTTAAGAAAGGGAAGTGGTCAGGATAAAAACAGACATCATCCCTTCCTCCCTGTTTTATAAAATTTAAAGATTTTTTAGATGATGGGACAGGTGGTAGGTTAGCTAGTTTCCCCTTCTGGTGGATTGGCTAATTTAAATAATTTTGTGGACTCTAAAGCACAGAGACTTTCCCTAGTTGTCTGATAACTGGCCTGGGGAGATTAGGGCGTGTGCACAGTGGCTCAGAATGAGAACCAAATAAAGGAAGTGGTTGGGGAATGCACTTAATTGGCTTCTCAAGACCGGAACTGACCAGACTCTAACCAGGGTAAAACACACACACAGGTTAGTGCATGCACATAAAAGAGAGTCTAATTTTCTAAATCTAAACAAGGCAAAGAAGAACAAGAAAGTAATAAGAAAGGGGGAAAAAAAAAACAGGTTATCTCCTCAACAGAAGTTTCTTTCTTTTTTCAAGAAGATACTTTATGAAGTTATTTTCTTCTCATAACTGACTACCCTAATTCCTCACACACTTTCTCTCCAGGGCTGTCATTGTCTGTTCCTCATACCACATATCCATCTATCAGCAAGTTGTCATAAAATTTAAATTATAATTTAAAATAAAAAATCATAATGAAATGTACCATGAATGATGCAGGTTTGCAGACTAGGATTCAGTGCTTGCATAATTCACCTGCATCACTATAAGATGAAAATACTGAGGAGAGAGAGTGTGAGGCAGAGTGTGAAAAAAAGAGAATAACCATCGAAAAGATATCGAGAATCCAATCACTTACCTAACTGCATTACTATCACTCTCATCCAAATCACAATCCCCTCTCACCTGGATCATTACAGCAGAGACCAAAGTCTTCCCCCTGCACTCGCCCATGACCTCCGACAGTCTTCAATACCCAGGAGTCAGAGTGATAGCTTTCAAGTATAATCTGATCATTTCACCCCTCTGCTCAAACTCTGAGGGAAAAGCAAAGTCCTTACAAAGACCTACAAGGCCCTATGGGATCTGGACCTGCCCCCATTATCTCCTGACTTTATCTTCTACTCCCCCCTCATTTATCAGTTTATTCTGACACAAGAGCCTCCTGATTTCCTTGAATGTTCGATGTGTGGCGTTTCCCTACTGCAATGACTTTGCACTGGCTATTCTCTGTCTGAAATGATCTTCAGGTATCTGAATAGCACACTTACTTCCTTTGGATCTCTAATTAAATGTCACTTATTGGGTGTGGGCTTCCATGACCATCTAATATAAAATAGCATTCACCATCTTTCAGCTCTTTCTACAAACCTTACTCCCATTTTATTTTTCTGCATAGCACACATATTATTACCTGATATACTATTTACAAGAGGACTTCAAACATTTGTGGAAAAATGGAATTAAAAGATACTATGCATCTTCCCATGAACTTTTTGAAGGCCCTTCGTGTTAGTTTTCCTGATTTGCTTAATCTCTGTTTTATTTCAGTAAAATATAAGTTCTATGAAGTCTTTGTCGTGAGTAAAATATAAGTTCTATGAAGGAACTTTGTCTCCCTTGGAAATAAGAAAATATGTCTCTTAATAATTTATTGTTAACATAAATAAAGAACACAAAATAGTATGAAGAAAAGATGTTTCTTTGGAGAAGATTCTTCTTGATTTTCTAGTCAAATATATGTAGGAAGACATAAGAACAGGGATAGTTAGTGGCTGCATGTGTTATATAAGATTAGGTAAAAATTTACATTTATTGTGTATTCACAGGTTAAGCAGTTGTTGATGTAGAAACGCTACTCTGGTACTTAGTCATTATGATTTATTTAAAATAGGATACAATACAAACCCTTCCTACTTTTGTTTTTTCTTCTTGTTTTCAAGCAATGTATGTTTATTTTCATTCTAGCATCTTCATTTGCATGGAAAATAAAGAAACTTACATTGCTGAGAGTCATAAAGATTATGTGTATTTAAAAAAGCACCAGTTCTGTCTGTGACCTATTCCTATGGTTGTTAATTTTGTGTCAAATTGACTAGAATATGGTGTGCCCAGATATTTGGTCAGACATTATTTTGGTGTTTCAATGAGGGTGTTTGGGGATAAGATTAACATTTAAATCAGCAGACTAAGGCAGATTGCCTTCTCTAATGTGGGTGGGCCTCATCCTATCAGTTGAAGGCCTTAATGAAACAAGAAGGCTGTCCTTCTCCCAAGTAAGAGAGAATTACTCCTGCCTGACTGCCTTTGAACTAGAATATCATCTTTTTCCTGCCTTTGTACTTGAACTGAAACATCAGTTCTTCCTACCCTTCTAGTGTGCCGACTCATTCTGCAGATTTGGGGACCTGTCAACTCCATAACTGTGTGAGCCAATTCCTTATAATCTTTTAATCTCTTTACACACTCACACACAAACACAGTCTATGTGTTCTGTCTCTCTGGAGAATCATGACTAATATACCTCCTGTCAATGTAAGAAAAGACATACTAAGTCTCCTTTAGCCCAGGCCAATTTAGAGATAGGTTAATAAAAATCCAGGTATTTGAAAGATTGTGATAAGTTCGTGAAAGATGATTTGAAGAGTCAGAAGGTAAGCAAAATATCTTTGGCTGTTGACTTCCCCTTGGCAATGTGGAAGAAAATATGTGAATTTAATATTATTTCTCTTATTTTTTAAATTTAGGTTAGCAAATTCAGGTCTACAGATGGTTTCCATTTATTCTGTCCTCTTTTCTATTATGACTTCAAGAATTTTAATATTCACTTCCAAGAAATGGGCATATACTCTATGATATCATAATATATATAACAAAAGACAAAATTCTGACTTGTATTTCATTATACTCCTTCCCCTATACCCTTGGCTGACATCACTAATCAACAAAAGTATCCTCCACTCTTAACTTAGACTCGTGATGCTTCTCTTTTCAGGATTACAAGTAGCCACTTTCTATTGACTGAAGCTGGAAGTAAAGATGAAACTATTTACTATTTTTGGTCTAGGCAGTGATGTACATGTCACATCTGAAGTCCACAGTATAATCATTACATATTCCAATTAAAATTTTAACCAATTTTCTTCTAAGTTTAAGAGCAAACTCTTTAAAAACTCAAATAGTCATAAGTGGTTCCTTTCTCATTAATTTTTTACTGTTAGCTCTGGTAATCTAATCCAACTCTGGACTTTTATTATTATGTTCTTATTCTGAGTCCTATTTTAGAATCAAATTATTTGGGGAGGGGGGTATCCACTCCATTCCTGGTCAGTTTATTATTAAAAATAAAAATACAGAAATCTCTTCTAGGGGGCTCTTTCAGTCTCCTGGCGATTCCCACTTAGGCTTGGGAGCTTATTGGAAAGTTGCCTTCCCTCACTTCCATCTATTCTTTCTTGCAACCAAAGCCAAAAGAAAAGAGATTATTTCTATGTAGGGTTTGAAACCTTCTGTTGACTTTTCCTGGTTAGAAGTTTTTTTCTGAAATGTCTTCTACTGTGTTCTTTTTGTGAATTCTTTCTCATATTTCTACAAGGTATTTGACTTAATTCTACGTGATGTGGAACCCCCAGCATGAGGGGCAGCTCATTTAGCCTTGACTCAAAATACCTGACAGAAACAGTCTCCTCTTTTCAAAAAGGGTATATTTATCATCCCTCTGAGAATTTTATGATTTTTAAACATTTGGATATAAATTCATTCTAGTTTTATCTCAGAAATTTTTAAAAAATGTTGATGTATAGATTCTTCCCTGCCTTAAAATGAAAGAAGAAAAGAAAGCAAGGTAGAAGGAGAGAAGGGAGGTAGGGGAAAAGGAAGGAAGGAAGGAAGTTGAGTAGATTCTATAGCTTCAAATATTTTGCTTCAAATTGCTTCGCATTTGTGTTGTGAAATGAACACAGACTTTCAGATCAGTCAGAGTCAGACATAAGTCTCAATCCCACCTATTTTGCTTAATTGATGTGAGACATTAGGTAATCTCTTTATAACAGTTTTTCCTGTTCAGTTGTTAATTTTGCATCTTTTATTACAATTATTTTATTAATGGTACCCTCTGGCAGGTAGACTACTAAGAACTGACGCCATCTTTATAGAAGGATTTCCATTGAGTTTTCCTTTGAAGAGTATAGTCCTTCCTCCTGTCCACCACGTAATGGCACTCACTTTTTCTTCTTCAGCTATTCAGTGGTTTTATGGTTCATTTGTTTATTCATTCAATTATTCAGCAACCTTAGTTTGGGTGCTGCGACAAAGACTTGAAACATAACGATGGATATCTTAGTCCCTGCTCTCTAGGACTCACAGTTTAGTAAGTGACATAGATATATAAACAAATAACTGTGATACTATGTTATAAATGAGATATGAAATAAATGACAAAGCACCCAGAGCACTGGACAGAGAGACACAAGCAATATTTCTTCCAGGGAGATCAAGAGAATGAGAAAGGTGACAATTGAGCTGCTCCTAGAAGAATGAATCAGATTTCTTCAGAGGAAGAAAGTAAAAGGTAAAAGACCATTCTAGTTAGCATGAGCAAAGTAACAGAGGTGTGATGGTGTAAGATATTTGCGATGTTGTGACATTACATCATGTTAAGTCCACAGATGACAATATATACATATCTGTTTTGCACTTTATAATGAAATCATTTGTTCATTGATATCCTTCTTCAATTTTGGTTGATTTTCCCCTTAGTTTGGTTTCCTTACAGTCCCATTTTTTCAAACTGTGTGTCATGGAACAAATTTATCAGTTCCTCAACAGGGTGTCTTTTCAATTGAATGCTATAGAAGAGACTAGTATAATACCAAATAGAAAAATATCGGAGTGCAATAACTTAGTGAGGTAAATACTGTTTAGTGAAACATGTTTAGGTTATGTGTTTCTGAGTGTGTTTCTAAGTGCCTGTTCCATAATGTATTTCTTATTGTGGACCACAATCAAAAAAGTTTGAAAGCCACTGCAGTAGTAGTATTTTCTATTACTTTTCATTGCACTCATGTTATATTGGTTATGATTAAACCTGGAGTCCAAATCAACCTTGGTTTTTAATGAAGTGACAAGTGACACAGACTGACCTCATTTATAAGCCTGGCACACAGGCAAGCATCTGTTTTAGTGAACTCTAGTTACATTTTACCAGACGAAATGCTTCTAGCTCGGAAATAAAACCATCATTTGTAGCATTATTTTAACATTATTTTTCTATTCTGAGTTCTAAACTACTGAATTACAGACAATATACAGAAATATAACCAGTTAAGAGTAAGCTTCCTGAGATATTGGCTTCTTCTATAATAATCATTCATTCATTCAACAATTATTTATTGAGAGCCTACTATATGCCCAATGGTATTCCGCATGCTGGAGATACAGTGGTGCAACTGACAGGCAAGGTTATTGAAATAAAAATATTTTATATTAAACATTTGTATTAATTTTGAGCTTCTGAAGTTAGGATGACATGTGTTTTCTAAAATGATTTAGAAACAAACCAGAAAAATATATAATGAAGGAAAAATTTTTTAGAAACCCAATTCCAACTTAGACAAAGGAAGTACATATTGCATGGTATATTTAAAACTGGTTGAGAGAAATGGCATATTTCATAAAATGATTTTAATCTATTCGTCATGGAAAAATTAGAATACAAATGCTCATACATAACACACTTTTTGCAAAAATATGAGTCTTGCACAGTAGGGAATGAATATCTATGCTACTGTAGTGTTATACAAATGAAGCTTAAAGTTCTCCATTGAGAGTAAAGAAATAGATTTTTTTAAGTTATATGTAAAATGGAGAGTAAACCTTGAACCTTTTACATGGAATTTCTCTAATTTATTCTTTGCAGTTTTATATATGAATGCTGGTGAAATGTAATAGCATTTATTGTTTAAAATTTCAAAGACCAGTTCCTTTTTATTCCTAACATTATTTGTAATTACCATGCTAGGACTTAGAAAATCCACTTTCTCTGACTTATGGCATTTAAAACACAGTATTTCAATATATATCAGTTAAGAGCCTATACCATGGACTAAGATGCTAGGTTGGGAAAGATAAGCATATTTTATGTCACTGATGAAGTATTTAAAAACATGTAAATGAATGTTTTCACTTATTACATTGTTTTGTATATTTTTTCAGAACAATTGCATGTCTCCATACTGCTTTTCTATATCATTATTGTCACTTGTTTCCAAGGTTATCACTTGCCATATTTAACTGCCCCTTTGAAGCTGTCTAGGAATGTAAGAACTTATTGGTCATCTTTAGAAATTTATTTTATTGACTTTAACCCAGTGTCTATTTCCATGTTATTAAATTTATTTCAAAGTGTCCTCTAACCATCATCTATTGAAGGGTATTTAACTTTGCAGAATAAGTGAGTATACATATTATTTCCACTGGGGGGAAAAAGAGAAGAAGTGGGGGTGGGGTAACCTACAGAACAGGAAAAAAATATTTTATTGCTCATTTTAAAACTTTTTTTTTTTTTTAGAAAAGGGACAGTTCATGTTCGACACAATGTTGAAACTTTAGAATGCTAGAAACACATAGTAACCCAGAAACTTTCAATGTTAAAGTCCTCTAACTGTGATAGACTAAAAAGAAAACCCAAACTATGTTTTCTTTAAATCTGGCTTGACTTTTCTTGTTTATGGTGTCAAGTTTCAAGGCTGTATTTAGACATTTTTCATCTCATTAAGTGAGGCATTTGCTTCCTTTACCTTCACATCAGATAGATTATACTCGAGTCAGTTGAACAATGGTTTCCTAAGGTGAATAATTTGGGTTGAGACCAGACCAAGCTAAGAAAAATCTTGCTGTGGTTGGGGGATGGGGGGGGGCAGACGGGGCAGGTAGAGAGAGATTGTTTAACAGATACAACATCACAGCGAGATTGTAAAAATAAATTCTAGTGGTCTACAGTAGTGTTAGGTATCTATAATTAACAACAATTTATCGTATGTTCTCAAATGACTCGAAGACAGTGTTCAAATGTTCTCATCACAAAGAAATGATAATTTTATGTGATGACGAATGCTAATTAACCTGATTTGATCATCATGTTGTATACATGTGTTGAAACATTATTTTGTACCACATAAATATGTACAATCAACATATGTCAATCAAAAAATAAAGACACAAAAGAAAATTCTTGGACAAGTCTATCTTTAACAAATGTGTCAGTGGAATATTGGAATGCATAAATAGAAACATTGATTTTGAAAAACACAAAAGAAAAATCAAATGAGAATTGTATACATGCTAAGAAAATTCCAATAAAAAAGGGTGGAATTGTATTTCCTTTTGTAAAGCGAAAACAGCCTTGAGTGCAGCCTCTTCTAAAATTTGATATTTAAAGAGAATTGTAAGGCATCAAAATTTTCAATTTGGAACGAAGAGTGGCCCATGTTACTGGAAAGCTCATGCCTTTCAGTCTGCAAAATCACCGGCCAGGAAAGCAGAACTTTTCCAATACCCATTTTTAATATTGTGCTAAAGCCATTGACTGTGTTAAAACCCTGGAGTTAAATATGATCCCCTCCCCACCCCCGCCCTTTCTTTCTTAGGTTAGTGTTTGGGGGACAAGGAGGGGGTTGGATCTTGGCCCCAACCTCGAAATCGCTGCCAAGGGCTTGTAATACAATCTCTCCCCGTTTGAAGGGTAAATCAGTGTCGATTGCGTTTGCTGCCCACCAGAAAAAAGTAAGCGTTTTACTTCCGCTTGGTCTATGTGGACTGATGAAATGTAGGAAATCTGTTTCTGGCAGGGGGAGAAATCGTTTTCCCAAACAGCACCAAGAGGAGCCATCAGAGAAGTATGAAGAGGGGCAGTGCGTCTGCAGCTGCTGCCACTGCCGCCGGGCTGGTGGGGTGCGGGGAACCGCTGCTGCAGGACCTGCTCCTGGAGGGGCCCGGCCCCGAGAAGCCGCAGGAGCCCAGCCCAGAGCTCGGGCGCCTCTGAGATCCGCCAGCAGCCCAGCTCCGGACGCGGGGGTGAGCAAGACCGGCTGGGCCAGCTCGCCGCCGCCGCCGCAGCAGCGTGCGCGCTCGGCAGCCGGGGCTTGCGCCGGTCCCTGCCTGTCTGTTGCCCCGGGGGCGGCGGGGGAGGGGGCAGGTCATTAAAAATAACCTCAGGGACTGGGCGGGGAAGGGCGAAGAGCCGTGGACAGTTGGTCAGGCTCTGGCTCTAAGAGCGGGTGGTCACTGCAGTGGGTGACTTTCTGATGCCCTGGAAACAGCCCTATTGTGGAACAGCCCAAGTGACCGCAGCACGTAAGCCCGCTGGGGCGACTCAGCCAACCAGGCACAGAGTGAGGACTTCTAATGAGCACACCAATTATGAATGCACACATACGCATTCGTGCACAAGGGTGTCCGTATTGCACGCTCAGCGTTGTTTGTTATGGGGGCGAGGGGGTGGAGCGGGGGTGGTCTTAATGGACTGATCCGGAATGGTTTACTGAAGTCAATGAGGCTAGAATGGAAGGAGAGAACGTGACACGTGATTTGTGGTGATACTCAGTTCTTCGACTGATGAGTTTGATAGAGTTGAGCGTTCTTATGTGAATAAACAAACGCTACCTTAGGTATCAATACCCTTTGGGAAGATTTTGCGTGATATCGCTCTTTCCTCCAGTCCGAAGACTGGTATCTGTAATTGGGGAGCAAAGGAGCTAACTGTGCTTTGGAGGAATTAATTATCATTGCAAAATTAAATTTTATCAGCTCAGTATGGTAAATTGCCATAAACTTCTATTGTTTTGAATGGAGAGGGAGCACAGAGAAGGGGTTAACAAATTGTTTTCTACATTCCAATCCAAGGGAGGGTGAGGGTGGGTTGATACTTTCCCTTAGATAACCTTTTTTGAAAATCCCAGCCTTTACTCTCTTCACCTTCTTCATCATCTTCATCCTCTTATAGTCAAGAGTTTGCAAAACTTTACTCTTATAAATTCCTTTCAACTTCCCCACTTCTTTCTAACAAAGCTGGATCAGTCGTGTATAGGAGATCTTATGCTGAGGAAATAAGATCTGCATGTGCACAGGAACACCCATTTGTCCTCCTAGTGTTAAAATAAAGGCTCAGACAGGTTGGATGTACCAGCCAGGCAGAGGAAGTCCACCTTTCCTCTCCACCTATCCCCTGAGATTCACAGAGGCAAGGCTGAGAACAAGCCCTTGTGCTCAGGCTATTTCCCCCAACCTCTTAGCAGTGTGGACACTGATTAACTACAGCTGGGATCTGATTTGCCCAGCCTGTCTTTGAAATTGATCAATGAGCTACTTCCTGAGGAATGCTTCCCTCTAACCGTGGAGAAGGTGGTGGCTGTGGTGGTCCTCCCCAACATGGGTGTCTGGGTTCTGACTGCCTAAGAGGAGGTAAGAGACAGATGGATGAGGTGCCGACCATTGCCTTTGCAGTGCTCATTGGAGCTTTTCCCTGGGGCAGCCTGAGTGGTTTCTGACATGGAAAGGTAGCTCGGATCTCTGTCTCTCTGATACTTTGGGCTTATTTCTTCACTGTATTGCTAAACACCATACTTTAGTGACATAGACCATACTTTACTGGTAAATAAATTCTCATGGCAAAATTTACTTCACCTGGTGCAAAACGTCATGTAATTGCTCCTGAGTTTTCTGGTGTCTTGGTAAGAAACTTTAGTTAAACCTTAAACCTTCAGGTACACTGAAACGTCAGGTCTTATATTCGCCCTAAGTTTGTTACGTGTTATTTTAGAATTTTGTTTCAAGACTGGAAGTCTGCATTGTAGACTATGGGAGCCTTTGAAAGACCAAAGTTACCTTAGATAAAAGCAAATGACGAGGCTCTACTAATTTGTTTACAGGGCGACTTTGTTTAAAACTTCAGCGGATGTTGTAATGTTATTTTGGTATCTGGTTTTGATATAGAGATCCAAACAGGATCCCACTGTTTCTTTGCATTTCTTCTCAGCAACTATCAAGGTTTTCCACTCAATGTCTTTTGACTAGAGAAAAGAACTACAGTGAAAGTAGAAAATATCTCTTGTCAAATGAGTAAGATGCCTGTGTAATTTTCTGTATTAAATGTTTTCAGAGTCAATTCAATTAAGTTTTTGCTAAATATTTTTCTTACATGAGGCCATTGTATATACACACACATATATATTTCAATAGAATGTAGAACTCTGCTAGCCCTTAACTATATTATAGTAAAATAAAACAGAAATCTTTGTATTATAAACAACACAAAAAAGCAAAATTTCTGAAGAGTTAAGGTTTATCTAATCAACTTAGATGAAATTTTGATGTAAGCCCTTAAATATTCTTAATGACTTTCAGATGGTTTTTCATTCAAATTATGTTCCAAGGTAATCTGGTCTGGGTTTTAAAACCTGTGCTAAATTATTCGGAAGGATGGTTTAGTATGATTAAAAAAAAAATTGAAAATCTTAATACCATGAAAACATAGAAAATCAGAAAATCAGGATGGTTTTTCATTCAAATTATGTTCCAAGGTAATCTGGTCTGGGTTTTAAAACCTGTGCTATATTATTCGGAAGGATGGTTTAGTATGATTAGAAAAAAATTGAAAATCTTAATACCATGAAAACATAGAAAATCAGAAAATCAGTTTCCACACAGTCTTAGTTTTTTGGTCATGATTTGAGAAGGAATTGTTACTGTAAGTATACCATTATATCATTCAAAACAAATGTTATAGGGGTTGCAGGATAAGAAAGTTGCTTGGAACAGAGTTAACATTACACAAAATTGGACACCAGGAGAGCTGAGTAGTATACTTTTAATGACTGTGATTAAATAGCCTTGTTACTTTGGGCAAAACATCTCTTAGTCCTTTAGTCCCTTATCAATAACCAAGAATTTGACGAGGTAAATCTTCTAAGGTCCCTTTGAGCTTAAAGATTTTATACATAATTAGATAGACTAGCACTTATTATTATGCCTTTATGTTTGGTGCTTTTTTGTTTGTTGACAAGTTGCTCGCCTGAACCAGAAGTGGAGATACCATTACAAGATCTGAAACTGTCTTCCTTATTAAATTATGGATTTGATTTTCTGATTAGACCTTTAGATTAAGATTTTGTTTACATGGCACTGATTAAAAATGCCATGAATTTTGTAGAGATGTTATTGTTTAGACAGAATGAGTCACATAGGAATACAGAACTCACAGTGGTCAGAGACATGTAAAGCCATCTTTGGTGGTTCATTCTTTAAGCCTTGCTTGAAAGATGGCATTTTCTCTTTCTAGATTTTGGAAGGGTATTTGGTTTTGGGGTGGTTTTTTGTTGTTGCTGTTTGTTTTTTAATTTTAAAAGATAGTGTATTGGCCTACAAACTTCTTTCTGCATTGGTTGATACCCTGACACACAAAACTGAATAGGTAGAGGTGCGGTCAATGCTGCAGATGAGAGCAAAGGTTGCCTTCAGGGATGGCTCCATGGCTGTATGTTCATTAGGGCAGTTTTAAGTGGCCACAGTTGAGTCTTTGGGTGCATGTGGATGGAGGGGGAGGGAAGGAGGTGAAAATGACATCCTCTCACATTTGTTTAAGAGATATAACTTTTCCCTATCTTAATTGTTTAGATCTTTAACTGCTGTAAAAAAAAAAAAAGGATAATTTGTTACCCTTCTCCCCAATTTTTTTGAACAACATATGTAAACTATTCATTTTAGAGCTCAACATTTTATGCATCATATATTTTACTTATGGAGTCATTAATTTTAGAGATATAACATTTCCCTATCTTAATTGTTTAGATCTTTAACTGCTGTAAAAAAAAAAAAAGGATAATTTGTTACCCTTCTCCCCAATTTTTTTGAACAACATATGTAAACTATTCATTTTAGAGCTCAACATTTTATGCATCATATTGGGGGCAGCACCTCCTTCAATATGAAGAAAACTTTGGAATTTCCATTATTTTTGGCTTTATATCATTAATACTTTATCTGTTACAGAATTGCTTTTCATTTTAAGATAAGTCAATGGAAGTTTTATTATGGCACATTTTTGATGGTGAGGGTTTAGATTTAACTAATCTAAAATATGTTAAATATTAAACATATGTCAAAGACTGGCACGAGTATTTAATCTTCACAGTTACCTTGGAGGCGTTAGCCTCCATTATCCTTCAAAAAATATGTGGAAGAATGGAATTAAAAGATAATGTGAATTCTTCCATTAACTTTTTGAAGACTCATACATAATGGAGAACTCTGGTGCAAAGAGAAAAAGTTATATGACTACAATAGAATAGCTACTCAATGTCTAGGTAGTGGAGTCACTAATGGACCCTAAAACTTGTGATTCCAATTCCAATATACTTTCCATTAATCAGTCTTCTTAGTGGAATCTCATATCAGACACTAATGATATAATCTTTATCATTTTATTTTTATTTCTTTCCAATTGATTTCCTATATTACATTGCAAAGCATTTTCTCCAACATGTCAATAAAGTCTAGAGATAGGTGAGAAACCATCCTGGTCATAATCAAAGCACACCTCTAGGTGGCATGAAAGAATACTTTTTCTTCACATTGAAACTATGGTGTCCTCAGCTGGGATTCTGAAGGAACAGACTAGACAGTGTTTAAACATGTGATATTTTACTTATGGAGTCATTAATTTTTTCTTCTTCCCCTGGGCTAGTTCAAGTCTCATCATATCCATAATTGTTATTCCAGAATCACTTCTACTATGGAAAGAAAGAAAAAAAAATACACAGTCTTTGAAGAATTCTGTGTTAAGTTTCTGCATGTTTTTCCCTTTAAGTTTTATTTTTCTGAATTCCAAGTCCTGAGGGTGGAGTTATCCATTTTTAGATAGGCACAGAAATCTTGGAGGATCCAGAGTGTAGAGGAGCCATAGAAGCATTTGAGTCCTTATTCCTCCTTGTAAAGTGATTGGCTTTGTTTAATACTCACCAAAGTTCCTTATCAACCTATTAAAATATCTAGATTATATAATTTTGCTGGAAACAACTTTCAGTGTTTAGATTTATTATACAAAAAATGTTTTTCTTTCTCCCTAATCTTTTTTCTTCAAATCTAGTGGATCATTAGTCATTTCATTTATCATCTGTAAAAGCTACCTCTTGGCATCTCTTATAGTTTTGAAAACCTTTGAATGAATTCAAAAGACCTGAAATGATCTTTTTGCTACAGTTTGTTCTTTATGATCTAATGCAACCAGTGTAGATTAAATAAATGTTTGCTAAAATTTATAAAAAGGGCACAATTCTGTTCAAAAGACCTGAAATGATCTTTTTGCTACAGTTTGTTCTTTATGATCTAATGCAACCAGTCTAGATTAAATAAATGTTTGCTAAAATTTATAAAAAGGACACAATTCTATAGTGATATTTTAATATGAGTAATATAAATTTATCTGATGTTCATTTACCAATTGGAAATTGCTTCATCATGGGGTTAATTTCTCCAAACTCAAAATTTTGATCCTGCTAGCTGGATCCATTACCATGTTTCCTATTTATGTCTCAGCCAAATCTAAATCAAAGACCTCCACGTAGTGACAGTCAGCTGAATTACCTAGTCATGCTCAGTTTTGGTGGTGATTTGAAATATGAAAAGAGGAGAAATTGGATTGACAATCCTAATTCTTTTCAGAAGGAACTTAAACAGAAGAGTCTCTATCTATGACAGTGACTTTAGGTTTCTACATATTTATTATACATTTAATTGTTTAACTTCTATTTCATGTTAATTACCCACTAAGCTTTCTTTCTCTCACCTTTGCCTGCTGGGAAAATGTAACTATTTTTGCTTTTTCTCCCCACTAAAATTTTGATCGTATGCAAAGTAGCAAAATAAAAATTGCTCAATTATTCATATTATTTTTACTTAATGATAATCTGTAAATATTAGAAGATACTTTGAATCACATTTTTGGCAAAGCACAGGAAAGATTACATGGAAATAAATGTGCCACTGTCAAAGAAAATAAAAACTTCACTGTTTAGAAGGATTGTGTCCCTCTGGCTCATTGCAATTGTTGCAAGCCATTAGGTGTACTGTAAAGTATCCCTTGATGAATTCTTTGCTGGACAATGAGCTTAAGAATCTGAGGTGTCTTCTTGCTTTTATAGAGCAGAATAGGATTGTGAAGCTTAAATGGAAGTTGCAGAGCACATAATAGGGTGTAGGTAAAGTTACTGAATCTCACTTTCAGGAAAGTAGTAGGAGAGATTGTGTCTTGAGAAGAAAGGCATTTTAGAGGTAACCCTTTTAAGACTTCAACTAGTTATTTAAATATATGAACCATGTGCTTAAATGTACTAGTACTTAAATGTTTTGTTTCTGAGGCTAGCTGGCATATAGGAATCCTAACCAGCTACAGGGAGATGTTTTGTTTTCCTGGGACTGGACATATTTTTAAAAGAACTAGGGCAAAAATTTTCTTAGATTTTTGGTGTTTAATCACATGGTTTGGAGAAAACTTTAGGGTATTATGTGAATAATGTCATTATTAACTGTGAAAGAATAAACAATGGTGATGTTCTGATTCCTATACTGTCAATTTAGTAACATATGGCAAGGTGTATTAAAAGCAGTTCACATTTGCCCTGGTTCACTCTAGATATTTAGATAAAGAGAATGTTTTCAAAGAAAATTTATGGTGTTTTTTTTTTCAAAAAATTACTCAGAATAATTGCATTAGAAATAAAATTGTGCTTTTAAATTGTGCATTTATGACACTTTTTAGGTGTTTCCTCACACTCCCAACAGTCTTTTTTAATACCACAGCTATTTAATACCGAATATTTGTATTTTCCTAAACATTTATGTCCTATTATTTTTTCAAAAGCAGTCTTTGAAAGAAATTAATCTATGCTAAGTGAATTCGAATTTGAAATTAACTGGAAAGGAATTCTATGTAACATTTTAAAGAATAAAGCCCAATAGAGACTATATAGCATTTTGGTAACTTTAAAATACCATAAATATTAAAATAAAGCTAAAAACTCCACAATAGCATATAAACCTTACTTCTTGCCTGTTGCAAATATTTTTATTTTTATTGTCATTCAGTCATAATGCATTTAGTTATTTCACATGCATATTTGTATACAGAGGGGATTCCTACATGTTGTTAAACATTATAACTTTGTTATTTTAGCTATATTCAAAGCCAACTATATATTCAAATACCTTTTTTACGACTGAAATAGATTTGTACTACTCATAAGGTAATCAGGTTAATGACATCGTCTTGTTTCATAGATGGAAGATATTTAAATACTTCTACTCTAAAGATGATTGCAAACACAATCCAGTATATAAAACAGGTAAAGTGGAAAGATACAAAGCAAGAAAGAGGGGACAGTAGAGAACCAAAAAATAAATGTGGCAGTATTTTAGAACTAGGGTGCAATTCTTGGGTTAACAATAAGAGTTCTTGATTAATTTATTTTGTAAAAATGTGTCATTACCAAAAGAATAGTGGTCTTAGAGTATAAAACCACAGGTTCAAGCATAACTCTGCCATGATCTAGCTGTATGATCTTGGTTAAGTCACTTATCCTCTCTGGTTTTTGTTTTCTTTGATTATAAGAGGGAAATATAGTACAAAGTCTTTGAATACTTTTCCTCCCCCATCCCCCACACAATTCTCTGAATTGTGAGTTTGTGATCGCTTGGCCATCTCCAAAGAACCAAGTGCTGTGCTTAATGTTTTAGGCAACAGTCTTAAGAGTAATAGCCATAGGTTTACAATAAATAGTGCCAATACTGTCATTGCTAGTATTCAGTCCTAAATTTTATGAAAATCTATGGTTTCAAAAATTAACCTAAACAATGAGAGTTAACAAATTGGGCACTAACATTTTAATTCAATTACTTTTTATCATGTTTGAATAAGTGGAATTGCTTGCCTTAAAAGCTTGCTCTTTCCAAATATATTGTTTTACACAAGCTTAGAGCTTACTGTTTGATTTTTCTATTTGACCTTTGAATACTGCTATTTCCTACCAAGTGGTTGACCAAAAGTGAGAGGGGCCAGTACAGAAAAAGCAAATAGTGCTTCATGGGGTTTAATAATTAATATCCTGACCTGTCATCAAATGCCCCATGGATCCACCAAGTGGTTGACCAAAAGTGAGAGGGGCCAGTACAGAAAAAGCAAATAGTGCTTCATGGGATTTAATAATTAATATCCTGACCTGTCATCAAATGCCCCATGGATCCGGTTCATTACTATATCATGGCAGCAAGATTTTAACAAGAAAAGTCTGTATAAAAAGCAATTGCTCTTTTGTTTCCAAAACAGGAATTACAAGTGGATAAATAATGTGCACTGCTCTGAGCCCAAAGGTACGCAGTGGACCTGGCCTCTCTGATATGCATCAGTATAGCCAATGGCTGGCCAGCAGACATGAAGCTAATTTGCTACCGATGAAAGAAGATCTGGCCTTGTGGTTAACCAACCTGTTAGGTAAGGTTATGAGATCTCATTTTTTGAACAAAGATAACAGTTTTTGTTTTTGTTTTTCCTCCTGTAGTGTCCTTCACCTAAGCATGTGATAGCGATAGCAGCTTGGAAAGAAAGACTTT